AGTTATATTTTATGAAGTACATTTTCTATAATTCTAATTCCTCTGTGATATAATAATCCACTGAAAAATACTAAGTGCCTTTTACAAATGAGGGTTCTTTGCCTTCCTAGAGCTATGGGTTATTGAAGAGGGCAAGCCGTTCAACACAAAGATAAACTAGATATATAAGTAAAATGTTTTTCAAGTCATAATCTATAAAACATTCTGTACAAAAGTGGTCTGTGCAAGGAGCTGTGCTGCTCTCAGAAGTCCAAGGGACTTCTCCTTTGCAGGTGGGCTTTGCAGGTGACTTCAGCCCCTATAGAGGGCGCCCGCTCTGCTTGGGTTGGAGGCCACTTGGAAAGACCCAGGAGCTGACCAGTGTGCTCCAGTGTGTCTTCATGAATGTTGCAGTCATGTTTCTGGGCAGACCACAGGCAACTGTCATGCAGCTGAATGGGTGTCTTGTTCAACCGGACAGCAGGATTAGGAGGGCAGGTGGCAGCAGCCTCTACATTTTTCTAAATATGGGAATGGGTAGGAAGAGATATGGAACTTTGCAAGGTCCACCATGCTTAGCAGTGTCTCCGAAGGGCTGAGAGTCCACTGCTCCCTAGAGCTGGGAGCTGCCTGACTCGACCTCAGGACTCTTTGCACTGCCAACTCAGCACTGGTCTTCTTTTTCCTCTTCCCCGGACTGCTGTACTTTGACTGGACAGACTGTAGAGGGCAGGACTTCTAGTCTGGGCCTTCCTGCTCTGCAGCCTCCACAATGGACCCAGTGGCCCAGCCATCCTCTCCTTCCCTTGGCAACTTTTTATATCAACTTTTTCCTGTTTGAATTATAAGTATGTTTTTTGTCTCCTGGTTGATCCCTACCATCTATATTATTGAATAAAGAAGAAAAGAGAAATGCAAATCAATATAAAAAAGCACTGAACAATAACCTTGTCACTTTCCTTGACTCTGAAGAATTTGGGTAAACACCATGGGGGGCTTCCTGGGATCTTGTCCCCTTGGCATTGGCTAGGAAGTCTTTGGCCTCACTCTTCTACCCTACATGCCTCAGTTCTCTTTCATGCAGACTTTCTTTTTCTTTTCTTCTGCTGTTGGTATGGCCCCTGATCATTCAGAAATTGAATCTTAATATGGTGACTGACTTCCACAAAGAATAGAATGAAAGCTAAAAACCATGAGGACTAGGCCTGAAATAACTGTCACTTATAATGAATTCTTAAGTTCAAAGCAAGTCACATAGCCAGCCTAAGTTTTTGAAAAGAAACAATTTTACTTATTAATGAAGTGAGTGGCAATGAGTCATTTTGCAGAAAAACAAAAAAAGCTTACATAAAAGATAGGACAGGTTATAGGAGCTATGTTATTGTTTAAGCAAAAAATGTCCCCTGAAGTCTCATATTAAGAGGTGAGGACTGATCACAGGATTAGGTCACTGGGCATGTGACCAGGAAGGGTGCATTTTGGTTCCCTATTCCTCTTCTCTCTCAGCTTCCTCACTTTCATCCCATAAGCATCCTCTGTGTGCTGTTCTGCCTTACCACTACCTTGAAGCTGGTCAGTATGGACAGAATCCACTGAAACTAGAAGCCAAAATAATCTTCTCCTTTAAATTGTTAGGTATTTTGTCCCAGTAATAATAAGAAAGTGACAGATAAAACTATATTTGAAAACAATCTATCATACTTGTCTTTTTTACCCCATTTCTTTTCCCATAACCTAGCACCCAGGCTTCTCAGATACTGCCAAAGTATGTCTCATAGCTATCTTCATACTTCATGAAAAGACACAAAGAATTAAGTTCTCACATAGGTCTATTCATCTTGTTTTTGTTTTATTTTTGTTTTTGTTTTTGGAGATAGAGTCTCACTAGGTAGTTCAGTCTGGCCTTGAACTCACTGTGCCTCTCACAGGAATCATTCTGCCTCAGCCTCCTGAGTGTTGGGATTACAGGCATGTGCCACCACAACTGGTTGGCCCTGTTCATTTTGATGGTCTCACATTAGTCCTTTTGGGAGATGCGTTTTTTTTCTTCACACTTCTTAAGTGCAAATATTCACTATCAATATGAGGCACTGGCACTACAAGACACATTTCCTTCCTTCTATAACGGAAGTCTTTTGGTGCAAAACCAAGCAAAGTCCAAATTGATCTATCTGAAGTAGCACTGTTACTGTCAGAGCCCTGGGTTCTTCTTTCAACCCAGAAAAGGGGCAAAGAGTCAAGAGAAAAATGAGCAAAAGCACTTATTATAGAGTTAAAGCAATACCAAGAGAGGACCTTTGTCTAGGGAGTTTTATACACAAAATGATTGCATTTCACACCACCCTGGGCCAAGTTGAGGCCAGTTACAAGCAGGAAAGTTTGAGCTTACAAGCAGGAAAGTTTGACTTAGAATTGGGCCTGAAGGAACTCATGGAATGTAGCAGGCACATTTTTGCAAGCACCATTAATTATAACTTTTAAAACTTATCTGGGGTGAAGCTGGACAACTATAGGTTAACTGTATAGATTAGCTGCTTTGGGAAATTATTGTAGCTGGGGTCCCTGAAGAAATTGACAGTTTTGATCCTGGTTAGCTGTGAGGTAAACATCAGTGGAGCACAGCAGACTTGGAAAGTCTTGTCTGACGCTCCTGCCTCCTGGATCACTGTTTGTTTCCTTCTAACCATTGTTTTTTGCTTCTGTAGCTTTGCTCTGTGCTGATTTGCAATGAGAAATTGCCTCTTATGATAAAAACAATATAAAAGTAGAAATAGGGTTTTGTTCTGGGCCCTTGGGTAGACAACGGTCACTCAAGTGGCTCCAGCAAAATACTGCTCTTTTGTCTATTACTTGTTAAGTCTGTCAGAGATCTCATGCAGTCTTCTGCTTCACTCAGCACAAGTAGAGCAAAAGCACTCTTCACAGGGGTATGAATGGAGGCTTGGTGTTACTGGTTACCTTCACCTTGTTTTTATCACAGAAGGATCCCACTTTTTTAAGATAGGATGCTTATCTATCCTGCCACTGGGGCCCTGTCCCTAGCCATTGTGGCCACATTCCTGGGCCTGGCTTTTTGTTAACCCAAAGTCCCAGGTTTCACCTTATCTTGTCCTTCACTGGGTCATCCAACTCCCTCTGGGCTTGGATTTTTCCTGGCTGCCTATCCTGCCTGATAAACACTCTGGAAAGTCTTTTCACCTTCTCACAGGGTACTGCTTGTCCTCAACATTTTCAAATACAGTATTTTCCTAGAACTGATTGTTTTAATCACTATTATGTGTCTCTTTGTAGGAAAATGATAACTAAGTATTAAGAAAATGAAACCTAAGCCCAACTGCGCATGTGCAGAGAGTTCTTGGCCCATCTCCCCCATGTTGTCCTCTGCTTCCCTGTTGCAGGCACTATGAAGGGAGACATAGCTATGGTCGCTGTCCTCTACACAACAGATCAGCTGGATTTCAAAACCCTATGCTTCTCCCTGTCATAAGCATAAGCCCATGTAATCTGACATCTCTCCTTCCTTCTCCTCAGTAATTATTGCTATTGATTTTGTGCTGAAGACTTAGACACATCACTTAAGGTAACTCTGCACATAAATCCACTTAGAGTAACTATTCCCCTAGATTTACCATTTGTGGTAGCAGACCCAGGAGACAGTGTGTACTTCAGGTTAGAATTGAGCACTTGAGAAACTATACTAATCTCTTGAACCATACGTGCGAATCATCTCTATCTTATGGGCTGGCTAAAGATTGAGTCTAAAATATTAACTATTGTGTTATTTTAAACCATTTGCATCTGATATTGGATCAGGGACTTCTCCTCCTCTTCCTTCTTTTTCTTTTAGTACTGGAGATTGAACTTGGGCACACTACTATTGACCTATATTACAGCCCTTTAAAATTTTTTCTTTTTTTGAGAGACAGTCTAAGTTGCTACAGCTGCCCTCAAACTTTAGCTCTTCATGCTTCAGCCTCCTGATTAGCTGGGTAAGAGGCCTGTGTCACACAACTAGCTAGTCTTACTCGCTTTTCAAGTATCCTAAGTAGTAAAAAAGATGCTATTTTGGGTTGATGTTGTTTCATGCTAAAGTTCTAGGTAGAATTCAGTGCCCAGCCACCTCCACTGCTGGATGTCCTTTATATCAGGTTTTTGTCTGTTGGTTTTCATTTTTGTAGTGCTGGGAACCAAACTCAGGGCATATACGTGCTATGCAAATACTCACCTCTGAACTATATCCCTGCCCCTGGACAGTTAATCTTTTGTGTTGACTTCCAAGTAGTTTATTAGAACTATTAAATTAATGTTTATTAAACTGATGTTAACTCAAGAATCTATAACAAGACAAGATCCGGAAGATCTTTTTCTTCTATTTTTCCTCTGAGACACTTCTGTATTCACCTGAACAAAATGGCTTGTGCAAAGTTACCGAAATCAGATGTTAAAGTTGACCTTTTTTAAGTTTTAAATTCTTCATAAAATATATTTTAATTCCTTAATTCTTCCAATTATAGAGGTAGGAAAAAAATTAACCACCATGGCTTTATACAAAGGCAACTGTGCCCCAAGTCACAAAGCCCTTGTCTGCTCATTTCCTCCTCCTGTCCTTTTTCGGCTAGATGATTAGCCACACAGAACCCTCGTTCGGATTCCTTGAAAAATATGTTCACTCTGTTGGGCATCCTAATTTCCTGTCAAGTAGTAAAGGTCGCCTTTTACTACTTTTTTTTTTTTTTTAACACAGAATGATCAGGAAGGAGCAGTAGAAACCAGCGAACTGCCAAATCTCCAAGAATGTAAATATAAAGAAAAAGGCCCGCTGTCCTCCGGCCAGCTCAAAACAAAGGTAAAACACCTGTTCAGTCCTCTCTGCCAGGCGCTGTTCTGGATTTCATCTTTTTCTCGCCCCAGTCAGTCGTTCCATCAAGAGGAGCTGTACTTGTCCTTCCCCGCAGTTACCAATAAAGTTGTTACAAAGTGACCTTGAGCGGCTTCCTCCCTGTACATCCGCCACCCCGCCTTCTCCATCCGGGTGCTGCGGCTCACATAAGAGCCTGACTGCGCCTGCGCGCCCAGCTCCACTCCTTCGACCTCTGCCGCCGCCGCCGCCGCCGCCGCCTCGCGGAAAGGTAAGTGGAGGGCGCGGGAGCCGGGCCCGGCCCGGGCAGAGCAGCGCCCAGAGGAGACCCATTCATTCTGCAGGCGCCTCTCTGGGCACGCAGCCCAAGTTGATGGCGTGCACGCGAGCCCTCGGGACCGGGGTGGGAAGGACAGGCCCCTGGAGGACACTTGACCTTAAGCCTCTTTGCCTCTACAGAGAGGAAGCAGGAGAGGAGCCCACGTCGCCTGTCACCTACATCCTCCTGCCGCGCCCCTCGGAAGACTAAAATGTTCGCCTGCGCCAAGCTCGCCTACACCCCCGCTCTGGTGCGTAGCCCCGCTGGGCCGCGGACCCGGGGCCGCGCCTCTTGGCCTGTAGCGTCCACGTTGTTGAATGGGGCAGCCTGCGGGCGGGGCGCACATGCCTGTTGGGAACAGCCCTCCCCTCGCTCCTTTACCCGACGCCCTTTTCTAATTTGGGGCGTCTCGGACCTGTCCTTCCCTCCACGAGGGCGAAGGGAAGCGGCCAAGGCCTGGCTGCTAGGCCTGGTGGGTGTAGGACAGATCCTCCGTGTCCCGCCGTTTCCCGAGCTCCCACTTCCGCAGTCTCTTGGACTGGGGTCGACGCCAAGGTTGGGGTCTAGGGAGGGCGATGGGGGTCACTGAGGCCTAGTTCTCCGCAGCAGCGTGCTCCCAAGCCTCTCTGTAGGTCACATTCGCTGCTGCAGAGGGAGGGATTTTGCGTGGCCGTGTGTGGGCGGAGGAAGGTGGCAGGGTAGCCCAAAGGCTTTCTTCCTGCCTCTGGAATATTACCTCTGTAACCATTTTGGAGGCTTTTAAGTCTAAATCTACAGGATTTGTCTTGGAGAATCAAGTCTTGATTCTGAAGGGAAGTTGTTTTTTTTGTGTGTATGTGACCTTAGTGTAGTGGACACTCAAGGGCAGAGAAGCAAGGGTGAAATATGTCCTTGTGAAGAGACTGTTTAACTGATCTTAAGCTAATACAGAATTGCTTATGCTGTTTTAAAAAATATATATATAATTAATGGGCATATGAGACAATGAGAGCTCGTAATATCTGGTGGGCCATTTTAAATGACAATGTTTATAGTAACACTACTATGCACTTGTTGGGCCTCCTAACTTACTGAAGAATGTGGGGGTGTTCGCTCAATCGTGCTATTACAGTGAATGAAATGTCACTAGCAGTGCTTAGTCTCTTATTTTGAATTGCTTTTAGGATTTTTGTTCGGAGTACTACAAATATATTATGTAGCATGTTTTGCAATTTTATTAACATGAAACCTTGTTAGAATTGCTTCATGTATGGAAAATGAACAAGTAGGATGATTATAGGTCAGTCTCTTTTTGTTGCTTTTTAAAAACTCTTGGTACAAGAAAGGTCGTTGAAGTCTTGGCTGTATTTTTAATGCAGGGAATTATCCTTTTTTTCATTAATAGATCCGAGCTGGATCCAGAGTAGCATACAGACCAATTTCTGCAGCAGTGTTACCTCGACCAGAGGCTAGGACTGGAGAGGTAAGAGAAGTAAATTGGACAAATTAGGCAATACTGCCAAGAAAGTCTTGTAGTTTTGCTTATAGTTGGGGAGAGAGGAAACTTCATTAATGAATGGTTTGAGGGCAGACCTGTTCCACTCTTTTGTCCTAAAACTATGTAGAGGATGACCAAATGAGAGGAACTGCTGTATGTAAAACTTACCTATAAGAGTAGGCCAATGAATATTGCAATCAGTATTTATTTTGAAGTTCATAGTTTGAGTTGCATGTATTTAAGACTGTAATAGCTAGTAACCAAAAAAACTATATTGAAAAGCATATTAACACGTTTCTTACCTTTTAGCAATGTTATGTAGAAATTGTTATTCTGTGAGATCAGAATTGTTATAAGCTCTTGATTTTTCTGTTGTGCCATAAGCTACTCATTCACACTCAGCTACAATAAAGTAATTATCCTCTTGACAGTAAAATATTTAAAATAGCTGTGATTACAGATTTAACCTTTGCCTTTTTCTGTTCTGTAGGGCTCTACAGTATTTAATGGGGCCCAGAATGGTGTGTGTCAGCTAATCCGAAGGGAGTTTCAGACCAGTGCAATCAGCAGAGACATTGATACTGCTGCCAAATTTATTGGTGCAGGTGCTGCAACAGTAGGCGTGGCTGGTTCTGGTGCTGGTATTGGAACAGTCTTTGGCAGCCTTATCATTGGTTATGCCAGGTAATCATTTCTATCTCTGATTAAGTTAAATAGTTGAAAATTATGCTTGTAATAGTTAGAAACTTAGAAAACTAGTGAGTAACAAAAGCTATTTTGTATTGACTACTATGTGTCTTTTATTCTTGTATTATATTTGTAGGGCTTTGTATATATATATTTGAGGGTAGGTCCTGGGAATAAAACTCAGGACCTCATGCTTGTCAGGCAAGTGCTGTGCCACTGGGCTA